AAGCTCAGCCTGAGTACATAACCTTCTGACACACCACCATATACGGTTGTCCACCAGGAGACTTTTCATTTTCCTATGACTCTGTCTCACACCGACAAAGGATTTTTTGAAATGTCAGGTGGCAAGGTACTTTGTGATTGTGAAACTTTCTAGCATCAAGGAAAATCCTGTGATGCATTTCATCGACATTCCCGCTGAAATCTACGAAGATAATGCCTTCACTCATATAAGGAGATTTAGTTGGAAACAGGAGGTGGGTTAGACAAAATATTTGAGTTTCCCTATAAGTAATAGTAGCTTTCTTGATCATTATTTTCGGCATGTCAATTTAACTGCTGGTGAGGTCAACTAGTCAGTGATTCGATAGATAATATTTGGATTATCCGTTTTGCATAATCTTTGTTATCCCATAATTCCTGTTAAGCAATAAAACTGTTTATCAAAAGGAGAGTCTGAAGGTCGTATTGTCGAGTCGTATGGGTGGCTGCTAGCTCCCTCAGAGGCCGTAAGTGAGTCACCCAAACTAAATGATTTCTCAGATTCTGACTAGCCAAGGGGTTGATACATATGCCATTTTTGGCTGATTATGCATGTAGAATCTGAAGAAGCAATTTGCGATTACCTCTCCTTCGTCTACGTTCACCTACCTAGTCTCTGTATCAACGATGAGGCCTGGGACTGCTTTTGCAGTTCATTCATGAGTATTATTACTTGAACATCTCCGATGCATTTTCAGCCAGATGCATCAAATTTTTTTCACAATTGATAAAAATTTACTCAACAGATTTCTTTGATTGTGGTGTATGGCTTCTAGGTATCTGAAGTTCCGAGGGTGATAAGACGTGGTTCGGAACTCCCTAGTTCCATGTTATACTGAAAGTCTCCTGGCTTGCACATGTGAGCAATGTTTTAATCTTTCTGAACGGTTCACAGGGCCTACGACTAAGATACCACGGCTTACGTTGGCTTCAGTTGACCCCATGACGTTTTCCTAGGGCTTCAAAATTTTAGCCTTCTGAAAAAGCTGAATCGATCACAGCACTTTTGTCGGTCTCCTATTCGTTTGCCTGCTTCTAAAACTAACCCAGGCGTGGCCAATTCTGCCTGGAAATGAGAAAGTTAGGCTCAGTGGCTAAACAGGAGTGCTGTGAATAATAACTGGAGTATTTCTTGATACTGCTGTGTTGATAAGTCTATTCACCAGATGCGTTACGAATTTCTTCAAGCTAGCATCAGATGTTAGCATCATTACAGCGATATTATTCTTTTATTTCAAAATATCAATGTCGAGGTGCTAGAAGAACACTTTAGCATTATTCGCTCACTTCTAGTCCAGAAGGCTTTTTTTCGGTGCGGGTTGCTGGGGAGAGGTCTGTCTGCAAGTAGATGCCCGTCCTCTAATTACAGTGTGCATAACTCTCTATTGCGTCTCTCTCAGGCTTAGAATTTTCACTGCATTCGAGAAGGCGTGTCGATTCAGAATTGACATTTGTCTGACTATTTACAAACTCTACCCTTCTCCCTACCTGGTGATGATTGCTTAGTGCTTTAATGAATAGTGTGAAAACCCGTCTTGAACAATTTATTTAGAGTATTTATGCTCGCGTGAGTATTTCCACCAGTTTTTGGTTGCTGTTCTTTAGCCCTTGGACTTTTACATCATTATCCCGACATTTACCAGACTCTTCGAAACGTAGTTTTCATTACTAACTTCTGTTGTTTTCTGATGTCTATTATCTATGCTCTAAGTCGCTATTGTATGATTCTGAACTTTTGGAAATAAAGTGCTGCCCTGTTCTTGACGATATTGTGTTTCAGCGAACTTTGCGTCATAAAGCAACTATTTACAGTTTGACAGTGATTTGGAAATCTCCATTTTTAGGCTTGAAATTTATGTTCGGAGTTTTTGTTCAGAATACAACTTTCATTTCTCCTGTATCCAGGAAGCTTTTTTAATTGACATTTTTTCTTTGTATTAAGTAATCTTACAAGTCTTTTATCCAAGTGAAGGAGAGGATGAGTTGTAAACTAACGAAACCGCAAACCTGGACTACGAAATAATAATTTTATCAAAAGTAATTTGGAGGGGAACTCGAAACTAAAAAAGAGGTGTTTTATGGGTAAATTACCTCAGAAAACTTATGCAACTCATGAAAATGAAGGAAAAGTTCACACTAAAGTTTACTGATGAGGTATCATTGTATATAAAAGAATGAAAGCTGAAGATTAACGTGAACGCACACTAATTCACTCCCATTTGAAAGTGTGTGATTCGTGAAAGGCAATTTAAAATCCAGATGATGTATCAGAATACTTGTTCACGAAATAGTAGGTATTTGGGGAATCACCGCAATACTTTTCAGAGTGAACTTCTCATAATAAAGACGAAATATTTCACAACTACATTTGAATTACTGTACAACCCACAACAGCCGAATAGATACCAACGAAACCCCAAATTTAACATAGTGGGAATAATTTGAAAGATGCCAGCCATTTTTCTCCAAGAATTACCGCGTTTGGCTGTTTGGCGGGGATGCTTGACCGGAAGCCTTCAGCTAAACAAGTCGACTTAAACAGTGATGGTCAGCATCCAATGTTGAGTGATGATTGCTGTGGTCAATAATTTTGGGGAATTATTTGCCGCTACAATACAATCATTAAAATATTGACATATTCTTTCGTCGGTAAACTCTACGGCATTTTGGTGTAAAGATAACTAATTCTTCAAAACTATAAGGTCACAGCATCCATCATTCAAGGCTAACCACTGACCTTCACTGTTAATGTAAACTAGTTCAGCTGATGTTTTGCGGCCAAGCATCAGTGCCTTTCGAACGCTGTCGCGTTACATTAGGTCGTTCGTACGCGACCCTTAGCTAGCTAGGAAGTCATCATCTCTATACGAATTTGATCTTGAAGTATATCTCACAATTTGGACGATTAATTTGTTTTGCAAACTCTTCTCTGCTTTGAGGAGAACAAGTACTATAGGAGCGGAAGGATGAGAACTTGCGTTTGCGTAAGTCGTGCATTGCGTAAAAGTCAGCACCCCATTCATAGCTCACGTTGGTCTGACCTCTCCGAATTTGACGGCAATGTCTATCCACACTTACCCATCAGCCACGTGAAAATGTTGAATTTGTTCCCTCAGAAAATTCCTAAAGTAATCTAAGGTGACATAAAAAAGCTATGGTTGCTTTAATTAAGCCTATCATAAACCAAACTTTTCTCCCTCTTCGAGCGGTAGAAATTGATGAATTGTAACTTATGCCAAAAGCACTTTCGACTACTAATAGTATCATGCTGCCACACACTTAGGGTTAGTTTCGGATAACAAAAACTGACCTAGTTTTGTGAGAATATGGTAGTGTTTGTAGTTATGAGGGAGTGCATTCGCTTCTATTCATTACTAATACAAAACACTCTTTTGCGGTGATCATAAATTACTAATACTTTTAACATTTGAAAAAGGTAATGGAACATATGGAGCGTCACTCAAGTTTCTTCATTATACTGTGTTCACTATATCTTTCTGTTGAGCAACTTCTTAGCTTTTGTAATTTTGGCTATGACGAGGAGTTTGTAACGATATTTAATTCAGAGTGTCTGTAAAAATTTGGATCAACAGTACAGTACCTGATCCGCTCCACACATTAAAAGACCACCAGATACCACAACAATGAATGATGTGACTGTATGAGAATTCTATTTTACTGAGTGCCTGGCGAACTTCAAGAGAATAACAATGTAATTCACTCAAATTTTTTTCATACGGGCTACAAATTTTTAATGTTATCAAAATGTAGGAAGCTAGTTTCTTCGCGTAAGCAGTTACCTGATATGAATACCGATAGGCCAGCATGTAAGAAACAGACAAAACTTGGGGACTGAAAGTTAATTGAGATATCACAACTCAAATGTGGACATGTATTAGGAAGTTTATAAATCGGGTGATATCAAATGGGAACCGTATGATTGCCAAGCTCAAACACCATCAGAATAGTTCCTCTACGAAATGTTTTGTAAAAACTACAGTCCTATAGCCCATTGCTCGTCGCGGGCACGGTATAGATTGCAAGTTAGACAGTTTCATTGCTTTGGTCTCCTCCCAACTTCATCTGTCTCTTATGTGTCCACTTCAAATATTCAACGATCCAAAGATTTGCATCACCTCCTGTATGATCAAACCGCTGATCTCGATATTTCGGAAAATTATTAGCCACTTACTGTGTTCATTCGATCTTAATTAAAAAGTACCTTAAGAAAAGTGTACTTCTTTAGATATATGAGGGATTTCATCGAGTTGTCCATCGGGAAGTCAGATTCTTGACGACTACGGGACGACTTATCACAGGACAGGTTTATTTCGTAAAGACCCATCCATATAAGGAAATAGGGAACTAATAAGATGACTTTCGCACAAAAGTTTGGAATCGCTAAGATTTTCTCTCCGGCAGCTTACACCTTGATTTTTCTTAATATTTTATCTGCCATCATGTTTTCGGGTATATTTCGGGCAACGGTTTCTTTTTACATTCTGATTAAACCGTCTTAGCACTTATTTTGAGGGCGCAGAAAAACCAACAGAATTTTTCTGGAAGCTGCTGTAGATAAAGACAAACTCTAGACGTAGAATATGAGACCTGCATTTCCTGTTTTCACCCATTTCGTAATAAAAATTTTACGATAACCGTTGCAACAGAAGGTTGCTTTTTCTGAAAAAAAACATGAAAATCAAAAAGGCGAAGGAATCAGTATTTATGAACTGCACGAAATCAATCACGTATAACCAGTGAATACATAAATATGTATGGTACTTGCCTGATAGAATAACGTAACGTCGTGTCCGGACACATGAATAATTCAGTATTTTCATACAATCAGCATTCCACTGAATCAAGTTTTACATTTTATCAGACTAGAATTTTGAAAATTATTAACATTTTATTGGTTAAGATTGTTAAGTCTTTTTGATTTTGTTTTTCTTACCTCCTAAACTCGGAGCTGTGGGAATGTGGCATGTTTAAATGTTCTACTAATTTTCGGTAAAAGTTGGTTAACTGGGTTAATTAGCATCCTTACGATTTACCTGATACCTGTCAAATAGCTCGTATACGTACACGTAAGTCTATTTCTGTTTTATTGCTGACTGTGTGTTGCCAGTTTTTAATGCTGAGTTGACTGAGGCACGGTGATATAATGGATTATCAATCTTTGTTTCCTCCATGTTTGACTAGTTGTGGTAGCATTTGTTCAGTTTTTATCATCACATTTACATATGTTTTCTTGTATTTTTGGTAATATGGAGTTATTACATGGTTCTTTTCGTATACGGACTCACCTCGTATACTGTTGTCCTCCCACGTGCCCTAACAATTACATTAGCATAAGTATTTTGTGCTTGTACAAAGTTCCTGGCTGGATCACATTTGATTATGTTTAGCTTGTGCTGGACTCTTAATGCAGTCCATGCTCACTGAATTTTTCTTGCGCCATCACTTGTAGTTTATCCAAATTTCATGAGCTAGTCAACGGGTCTGTGTGTATGTTTACACAAAGCTCACATTTCATTATATTTCAGCCTAACTAAGTGAAAAGTGCCTCACTCGTCTAGGGAGCTGTGTTAGATTTGTCATCGTTCATTTTTCTTTGTGGACTAGTTTCAACGAACATTCGAGTTTCATGATTCTATTCTTTCATAGCTTGTCTCATCATAAATAATGAGACTTGATTTTGATGTTTCGGTAAGTATAATGCATAAGCGTACATAATTAATATCTTATTGGCCACAAACTAGAATTTTCGCAATTAACTACCAGGATATGTTTCTTTTGAGTCATTTTGTGGTTTTCTTTACAAAAACATTGTTTCATGATATACCTGACTTTTCTAATTACCTCTTAGTTTATAAGGCAGAAGTTAAATATGGGTTAGGCCAACATGGGGTTGACAATAAAATTTCCATGCAGACGCTTCAATTAAAAAAATTAATATAATGCCCATAACTGTGGTTATACTCTGGCAATTTGCATGTTATCTCATTTATGTTAGCAATCTCGATGTTCTGCTCTAGAAGTTATTAAGGATTATCCATTTTAGAATGGTAAATTATCATGGGACACCTTTTAATATCATTCCTGAATCGTACCAAATGTAATGAAGTATCATTAAAAAGCTAACGATTTCATTTAGCAGTAGGTTGTATTAATGGTCACACGGTATACGAAAGCATTCTGAACTCTGTGATTGGCTGATTGTCGTGATTTGAAAACCAAAGAATGTCACTGTTGTCTTCACTGTTGAGAAATAATTGGTGCAAAAGTGATTTAAAGGTATCAATGGCAAGCGAATCTGAGGCATCAAGAGTTCCTGACATTTTCATTGATAGTTCGTCAACCTATCCTCCAATCATATGTCCTCTTAAGCTGCCTACTGGATTTCTTCACAGCTTGGCTGATGAAGGCAGAGACTGTACTGCAGGATTATAGACAAATAGTAGATCAAACCATTTGGTCATAGCAGGAGTTTGATTTTTTCAGCACAATTAGTTTGGAGAGAAGCCTGAGTGACCTGTCCAAAACATTTGATTATCCAGCTGCGCAGGCTGGAATAGGCGGAGAGCGGTTCAGACGTCGGCCTTGCTTAGTATGTTTCGAATGTTTTAGCCGGTGAAACATATCAAAGATTCTTCCACTACACCTTTGTTAGTATTCCAGTCGTGTTGGATAATAACAGTGGAAGTATTCAGGACAGAGATGTATTTGTCATATTCACAATTTCAAAAGTCACTGCTCAACTTAAGGTTATATTATCTCTGTTTCACTGTTTACCTTCTGTTATAGTGTTGTATTTCTGCTTTTTTGTGGTGTTTTGAAGTATATCAACTTGAACTGATGCCGAATTACGTTGAGTTCCGCTTTCACTAGTTTTTTATCATGATCAAAATAAGTCTGTAGTAAGTCACTTAAATGCATATATACTGTTGTTATGGCTTCCTATAACTTTGTTGACTAAGCTGACACCGATTGAGTACACCCCCAAAGTGGTTATAGTTGGATTTAATTGGGAAGTCGATTATTTAGTATGTTTCTTACTACTGTGCTAAATACCTCACATATTTATCTCGGTTGATGGTATGAGGCATGTTACTGAGTCTTTCAAAAGAAATAGTTTTGTGATTCAACTAGTATTTGGACACATGGCCTAGTGGCATGTCTAATACCGTCAGCTGCTTTTTACTTCAGTGAGGGGACTGTTTCGCTAGTCATTACCAATAACTAATACTTCTGTTTTGACTGTATGACCTTTGGTTGTTTATATATTACCCATCCGTTTAGGTCAATAGTTTATAATCATTAGGTAATACCTTTAAACCCAATTCCACTTACGTAGTTTAAGAAGGTTAGGTAGTAGTAATGACTATCACGCACCTAATTTGGATCATAGTTTGATATATGCACATGTATGTGTTTTCATAGGTACAATATTTTACAGTCTCTGTCATGTGTAGCGTAAAGGTATCCCTGTTTTAATTTTTGCATCAGAGCTGTTTTTGCAGCCCCACCATTACTGTCATAGTCATATTCATGTTCTGTAGGTAGTTGGACGTTGCTTGTGTTACAATTTCAAATGTTCTACCATGTTCTTTAAGTAGTGGGTAAACAAAGGTCCTGATTACCATTTCCAGATAGAAACATTACAACCATAAAACCTAGTTTTAGTGCTTATTAGATCAAGTTAATTCACTAATATGTATATTAAAAGAAGCACAATGGTGTGCATTTATTGTAGTTTCTTAGTAGCTGTCAAACTACGTAAAGTTACATGACTAAATTTGATTAAGCTATGAAATTAGAGACCTTCCAGCCTCAGAAAAGCATAATATTTAACGTGTAATTTTTGAGTTCTAATTTCTTCGAAAAATACATTGAGGTTCAAGTTTGGACTATGAAAAACTACATCACCAACCTATGCTGTCTCACTCTGATATAAAACTGAGGAGGAGTCTCTAGAATAATATCTACGGGGAAGTGTTTCGTATATGTTGAGTGTAATTTATTTTATAGACAATTTCACCAATATCTAAGGTCCAATTTAGCTTCTTTGGTAAGCTGTGTATCGTTTCTTAAGTCACATCACATACTAACACCGCGAATATAATAAGACTTGAAAAGCAACAGAAAGAATAATGAGTTTAAGGACCCATGTTTACACCACATTCAGGTAAGCGTTGGATGCTAGGCTACTTGGGAGGGGCTGTAAGCTAGCTAAATCGCTCCTCGAAATGTTCCCTCCAACTATCCAGTCATCTCTCATGATAGCTTATGGAGGCGCTGCCTTTCTCGGAGATTATCTCACGCATCACTTTCCGTTTCCAACCTCTTTCCTTAGTAAGCCTAAATAGTTGTTTGGTATTGCTTGTGGCTGATGCCTTTTCCATCTCTTTTTTTTTCGTCTCCCACCAAGCAACCAACAACTTCCTGACTAGATGACTGCTTATGTGCTGTGCCTCGAAGGTTTACCCCGTCGTTGCATTAAAACTCATGTATTGGACGCTTTTAACTGGAACAGATAAAATCAGATAATCTAAATGTAGAAACTTTCATTTTGTTAATAGTTTTAGTTATGATCAAATGTACAACTTTAAAATGAATTTATGTATGCCTATAATAATGGCCGTTCAAAAGTTATTAAAACTTGTTCTGCAGCTTCAGAAATGTCGGTTAACGTATTCTAAGGTGAATGAAGCTATTTTCATCTTGTTATATGCAAGGGAACACCGATATTCATATCTGAAACTACCACTTGCACTGAGATGTATTAACACTAACGTGTTTCCCAATGGGGCCCAGCACGTCCAGTTGATTGATGTTATTTGGCTGAGAAGTTAGAAAACACTTGCATTATCAGCAGCAATTCGTTCCTTCACCTTGCAAAGTTTTGTTATGTGCTCAGAGTTGATTTTCAAGTACAGATTCATTACAATGAAGTCGAAATCAAAAACCCCTAAAAGGCTCTGTGCAAAAATCTTCAAAGTTGTTATCCTTCAAGCTATTTAATTTTATTTACAGTTTCATATCAGCGATATCACGCATACTTATTCAGTACCTTTCAGTTAGCTTAAGAACATACAAGGTTTAAATATGCGAAGTCACAAACTGCAAACCACCACCTATAATAACAAAGATTGAGTATAAGTGCGGAGTGTTTTTTAAACCTGTTTTACAGTAAATAATATAGTTGGAGAAGTCTGTACGAAAACTTAGTTTAATGATACTAACTGAGTTGGATAGGGAGGTCGCATAACTTCAGTGAGGTAGTTGCTGAAAAAGTGGAAAGGCTTTAAAGTCTTGTTCAGCATTTTCTAACTTGCAGCAACCACTTATATAACTTTTTTATGCGGAATCAAGTAGGGAGCTGTCCACTTTGACCTGCTAAGCCGTTGAAAATATATTTCTTAGAATATTGATCACCGTGAAATCAGTTGTTTCTGAATCACCGCTCACATGTACTTATATTATCGAATAGCGAGGTCGTAAACCAGAACCAGCGGAGAGGGTGGGAGCATATAACACGGCATGATTAGCAGTCTGCCCCTAAAATCAGTACTATGTAGAGTTTTGCGCTTGCTGAAGAGAACAGGTTTTCAAATTAAGATCACTGACTTAGTTTTAACAGCGCAGAAGAGTGTGAACTCCTTATTAGGATTAATTAACGTGGTAGGAGTCAAGATGGAGTACTATTCAGATCAAGTCGTTCATCTTCTGTATTTCTTCAGTAACTAGCCTGTTAGACTTCAAAATCTATAAATGCACTGATCACTTCTTCTTTTGGGATGTGGTACCATTTATAGTCTCATTGGAAACAACATGCTTGTTGTAATCATTTTTTGATGTGGTCACATTATGATATGTCTAATAAACAACTAGGCATGTGAATTAGTTTACTGAGAAATGAGAGGAACATAGGTTTCTAAGATGAAATTTATGAAGTTATAAATATACAGATAGTTGATTACTGAACTACATCCTAGGTTTTGTTTTAGTGTCCTATCTGTACTCAGTTTCTATCTTTATATATACCTTACTTTCCTGAATTTTTACCTCATTAAATTGGATCCGATTTTTGAACCGATTACTTTTCTTTGATCAGGAAATAAATTGTGTCGAGTAATTGGTTGTCACGGCTCATTTAACAGTTTGTTTTGGTGATTTTCGTATTTTGGATTGATTTAGTTCCATATAAGTTGTTTTTAAATTATCTATTTGTGTATCTGATTCAATTTTCGTGTGTTAATTTTACTGAGATCCTTTTCTCCTTTTTAAAAGTTTCACTTTTATGCTTTTGTTTGTTATTTCCATTCTTATAGCAACCTCTAATTATGGCAGCAGACGAAGACTTGTCGTATTCTGATGATGCGTATGAGATTGAAGATAAAGAGGATCCTGATGTAATAAATTCAGCAGACCCTTATAGCGACTACCATCAACAAATACTTTTCTATCGCAACTTTGACTCTGTCGCTGGACGAGGTCTTCAGAGACCCAAAGTGAGACATACTTAATATACTTAACTGTCACTTTGTTTTAGACACGCAGACGAAGATGGACTCAGAGAGATATGACTAATGCATACAATGCTGTCAAATATCAAGGAATGTCTTTGCGTGGTGCTGCTACCGCTTTTAATGTTCCTGAATCGACTCTTCGCGACAGAGTTCATGGAAGAGTTAGTTTAGAGTGCTCTCGACCTGGTCCTCCAACTTTTTTCACTTATGAAGAAGAAAAGAAAATGGTCGATCATATTCTATTCATGAGTAAAATTGGTTATCCGTACACAAGGAATCAGGTACATATATGATATATATATATATATATATATGACATTTTTTGTCACCAGTTATTTTAGTATCTGAGGGACATTTTTTATCTTGTTTTTGTTCGTTTATATGTTGAAGACTGTTATTAGTCGGAAGGAAAATGAATTAATTTGTTCTTCATCGTATCATATTTATCTGACTTTTTCAAAAACATTAGTAAATGTTCCTAATGTCTTTCGCGTACAATGTTCATTCCATATAACTAAATCCCTTCATAAAATTTGGTTAATCACTGTTCTCACTCTTAATTGGAAATTTTTTCTTGTCTTTTGTAAAATAATGTATACGTTAAGAAGTGGTAAACATTCATCGTCTGTTCGAGTATATCATTACTTATTGAGTTGTAAGTAGGAGTCTGTAGAAAACGTATAAAACAAGTTTTTATTTATGCTATCTGTATTAAAAATTAATGTATTCATCTATTAAATTGATATTATTACGCAACTGAATTACAACAGTAATAATCCTAACAACAATAAATAACTTCACCACTGTTTTTCAGTTGACATAATCGGTCTCTGTTATCTATTGTTGGGATTTAGTTGGTTAGTACAATGGTTATTATTACTATTGTTCAAAGCAGTATATATATATATATATATATATATATATATATAGTGCTTATTATGCTAGCAGCAACTTCTATTGAGCAATGAATGCACGTGATCAGATATTAGCATATCAATTTACTGTAATTCCCTTGTATTTTCCCTGCTTGTTTTTGTATCCCATCTTCTATTATTTTCTCATTAAGGTTGTCGAACTTGCTGGAGATATGACAAAGGCTGTTGGAAGAATCGCTCCATTTAAGTATCTTAATCCGAGTCAGGCATGGTTTTATGCATTTCTTAACCGTTGGCCGGACTTGAAAAACTTCTTGTTCGGACCTCGAAGCAATAGGAAGTCTAAGGGGGTTTCAGGGGATTCAATACAGTCTTACTTTGAACAACTGGAAAAGGTGTGTTTAAGTTTCTTTTATTTTACTGCTTTGTTATTTGTTCGTTTATCAATATAATTATATTTCATGTTCTTTTCGAAGTTAATAGTCATTAACTCGTGTATGGCTTACTAGACAAAATATTGTGACATTTGAAATTCATAATTAAGCATATTTCTGTCATTAAATGTTGGCATTCGTTTGTTGCATAGTGGTTAGGACGCTCGCCGACCATGCACATGGTCCGGGGTTCGATCCCCGGCCGACGCACTCCCTTACCTCGCTAAGCCAGAAATAACACTGGTGAAGTAGAAAGGTTGGGCATGAGGCTATCAACCCCATCCTGTAAAATAAGCACTGCTACAGAAACTTCAAGCCACTAGCTTGAAACCGTATGTTCCACTAGGGAACGTGAAGGAAATAAAAAAATTCGTTTGTTGCGGATATATACTTGGAGGTCGTAGACTTTGTTTTGAAGAAAAGCTAAAAATAATGATCTGTTGCTTCTAGGGAATCTTTACTCAAACTGATCTATGAGTAGTAATATGTATTTATAAATGGAATATAAAAATTAATAATATTCTCGTTTAGGACAAGACTTGCATGACGTCTAATAACCCTAGTTACAGTATGACTTTGACTAGATTGCATCCTCAGTAGAACCTGATAATTCCAACTTTACTGATCTTTCATGAAGCCAATATAGTTAACAATCATTCTGAAATATGCTACCCATGGATACTTCTCAAAAATTAAGGTTTTTTTTAAACATATTGAAAAAGATATGGGGAGAAGTGAATAGTGATGCAGGTCATTCCTGTACATCAAAAATAGTCTGATTCACCAGTCGATTCCTATTTGTTTCCCCTACGTTGATCGGTCAGATTGCTGTTGAGTGTCAAGCATTATTGAGAACCATTTATGGAAATTTGGGTCAGTGGTCAGTTAAAGAAATTGTTGACTGGAGAGATGGACAAAGAATTGAAGGTCAGTTCAACCGGCTTCCGTCCATTCTCCAGTTGCTCTTTATCTAACTGAAGCCTAATATGAATATCGGTGTAAAACTTCCAGTTGTCATTGACTTTGAGGAAAATATAATTTATAGAACGTACTTTTTAGTTAACAACAGTGGTACTTAAAGAAAATAGCGCACTCCTGGAAGTTGAAATGATTAACATTTTATCTCAGTTGTAAGAGTTGAACAGTACCATTTTTATGGTCCTCTTCAATAATTGTTTTTATTTCTCAAGGAGAGAGAGAGAAAGAGAAAGGAAAAATTGTTTGGGACAGTCATGAATTAATTAGCTTACTTAGTATCCTCTAAAACTGTGGGTTCTACAGTCATCCAATACTCACCTTAGGTCCAAAAATAATGAACTCGAAAATACTAGACCTAGACTTTAGTATCGTAGTATATGGATGTGAAAAGTATGTTATCGATTGATTCTTTATCCTTTTGACTGCAATCAAAGTTATTAAAAATATAAGTTTTGTCAAGTTCCTCTTGCACATTATGCATACTTAGCTACAGAGCTATCCCCAAGCTGGAGTGGTTGCGGTGAAATCCTAAATGGGCTCATTACTCCTTGTTCATAGATATTCTACATATTGTTTGAAATAAAGCTATTACTATTACTGTTGTAGTGTTACTAGCGTATTATTTACATCCCTTTCTTTATCACTGTACTTGACTTGTGTTAAATATTGTTCTGTACATTTTAAATATGGGTGTGTCATCATGTCCTTCAACTGTCATTCCTATGCTTTTCTAGGTTCTTAATAAATATGGCATCAAAGACAAAGCAGAACATTTTTGGATTGTTGATGAAGTCAGCATAAGCTGTGAGAATCAACCTCCACGTATTCTTCCTATCAGTATACAACGAGCTCAGTCTGTAAGCTATTGGAATCCAACTGTAGCTATGCTTGGAGCTGCTAATGCTGTTGGCGAAAAAATTCCCCCATTTTTGATTTATCGCGGTGATGGAATAACATGTAGGTTGTTTTTAAGGACAAATCAATTTTCCCGTATGCTTTAATAAAAATATTTCTTGTCCAGTCATTATGTAGGTTGTTAGTTTTCATGAGTTCATATTGTTTAAGAATTTTCGCATGAAATATCAGTTCAACATAAAAAAAGATATATCAGTTGCATCATACTGTTTTTTTAGAAAGAAGTGTGTTTATTATAATAAAGGTTTTCTTGTATTTCCCAGTGAATGAAAAACAAAACGAAATACAAAAAACCTTTATTATAATGAATATCACATACCCAATGCCCAAATTTTTTCAAACTGTTAAAAGTGAACTTTTCATTTGAACATATATAAAGAAGTGTGTCAGTGAATAAATGTGTGTGATGTCTTCCATAACGGCGATGAAGGATGATATTTCATGATATCCGACCTAAATTACAGCAGATATCTTCCGTAAACAAAAAATACTAAAATGAGTCTACAAAATCATTTTATTACGTCCTTTGGTCGACTTTTTGCGTGCCCTATTTACATCAAGAAAGTACTGTACTGTGTTGTTTGATACTACAGAAGATTTGTAGCTCAGGTGGATGATTTGCAGTTAATTGCAAAACAGCCTATGCTATTACAGGTGATGACCATGATAAATCATATCATTTCTAAGAAGCACTAAGAGTGAATTCGGGTGACAGTTTCTTAGTGCGAAGAAATTTTCATCATTGGTCTTACTGCTAGTTAATACTGTTCTCTAACTAATGTCAGCTCATGATGAAATCCTGTAATAAAACTACTGTTATTCAAAGTAGTTGTAGCAGGCGGTGCAGTTAGTTGATAGAAAACTATCGACCAAGTATCAAAATTCACTTTAACAGGTTGTGCAACATGGCATTACTATAAACTGTTGTCTACTCCTGCTACCGTTATTGAAACATAGTCATGAGTCAACTGAATTGCTTTTAGTGTAATAAAGTACAATCAAATGAGATCCTTATGGTGTAGTCCACTAATGTTTCTCAAATATTATTTCTATAATACTGCTGTAACGATCATCTCGATCCGTATTTATTGTACTCAATAACTATCTAATTAGACCTCATTAAAATAATACAGTCATCTCAAACTTTCTTTTATAATTCATTTCAAAACTGAAAAACGTCTTTTTTTAAAATCTTCTGCGCGACATTTTATTGACTAAGTACAACAATGATTGGTTATTCTATATTTCAGGCAAAGTATAATGCGCAATTTTAAGCTTGAATTTATGCAATCGGAATCAGTTACTGGATCGTTAAAGTTTTAGTTCTTTACCATTTGAAAGTGTTGAGCTATTAACCACTTCTCCGTTTCTACACTGCTCAGTTGTTCTATTGTAGTAATATGTAAACGACATATGTTCATAAGTTCATAAATGTGACTTTAGTTAATATTTTTAAAAGACGTTAACACATAAAATGCATTATTTGTTTTATTTTCAGGTATTTGCTTTGTGTAGTTATTCAACTTGTTTAACTAGACGATTGAATTCTGTTTTGCCTATTAGTAGGGCATAATTCTGTACTACTTTACTATACCTATTTTTAAATATTGACTTCTTTTCTCAGCAACTATGATGGAAGGTTCTGTACGTGGTACCAAATTTTCTTACTCATCATCTGGCTGGGTTAATTCTGATGCTTTCATACAATGGTTCCTTAAACATTTCCGACTACTGGTATCTGTTCGTCCAATTATTCTATTTTATGATGGCCACTTACAATTTGTCAGTGTTCGTGTATTAGAACGTGCTCGTGAAGATGGTGTTTTATTGTTTCCACTTCCTCCTCATCCAGCCTACAATCACTGTGTAGAAAATACATGTTTCTGGGCATTCCAGGTAAATTAATCTTACTAAGATTATGAATGTTTTCAGTAGCATTTAAATGATGCTAGTTACTATTTCGTTTACGTTTTTTTGTTTTCTTTCGAATATTTATTATGCTTAACTATTGATGCGTTCAGTTTTCTTTCTGCATAACTTTTTCCTGCTACACTTGTAAACAAAAGGTCTGTTGACATAGCGGTGTACTTTTAAAGGACTGCAATCGCATTGGATGCTCTTTTCATCTGTTACAGGTTGACTGATTGGCTAGTATCACTAGCTTGTATGTTACTAGATAGATGTGAGTAATTTATAATTGCGTATGCATATAAATTTCACACGGATGTGCTTGTAAAGATAAAACAAGTGATCAGAAATTATAAGAATAAACTTGCTGATTGCAATTCTGTATTACTCACTTAAATGTACAGAAGTAAGATAATGTAGGTTCATTATTTTATTAAATTAGCCTATTTCACAAATTTCGATCGTTTGTCTGGAGTTGTTCCGTACTTGCCTAGGTTCATTTTCTTGCGTTAGGTGCAACCATATAGTCACTGATAATAGAATTAGGCATAGAATACCAGGTGAGGAAGATAAGTCGGTTAATGAAGCTTTTTTGAAGCTTCATTGATTCATTTGACTGGAACATTTACTACGTGTAGTGACCCACCACCCTCATTATTGTACAATGTGCATCGGTGGCACAGCAGCTGTGACGCTCGCCGACCATGTACATGGTCCGGTGTTCGATCTCCGGCCGAGGCACACCTGATTGATATCAATGGTCGGTCTGCTGAATTTTGGCTACCAGTATCACATGCTGAAAATTCCATAGTTGTACCAAAAATACTGTGCGGAATCAAGCTATAAAAAACAAATGTTGGCTGAAGTACAATTAGGCTGGAAAAGAGTTACAAGTAGTCAAGTCTAGACATGGAGTTAGCCTATGAAGACAACTACTACTGATTTGAGTCATGTAAGTTTATATTGATCGTGTTATCAAACGAAGAGATTAATAATTATCACTAATATTTAAGACTTCTCAGGCGTTCACTTAACGGTGCTTGAATAACGTCCAAGTATGCTTCAGGATAACTTATCGTGTACAAATGTATAGGTAACCTTAGGCTATTGTTAATCTGTACTACTTATCTCCATTAGAAGTTGTATATATTTTCTTGCTGCGCACTGCCGATTTTGCTTTCAATAATTTGCTGCTATTTCTTCGCATTATTGTACACTTATATACAAAGGTCATATTGTAGGTTATTTACCTGTTTTTTTTTATTCATGTTTCATTTTCTCCTATCATTTTTCCATAGTACTTTTAACAGTTTCGTTTACTTATATATATTCCTCTTTCTTATTGAATAATAATCACGTGATGTGTGACTTCTTTTATTTTTCACTTCTGGCCTACTGCTTATGTAAATTTTGAAACGAAGTTGACTGGGCATGGCCAGTGTTAATGATGAGTTGTTCTATAAACTTAACATACATTTTCTACACACTTATATTTATTAATTAGTATATATTGTAAACCAGTGGATACTAGTATCTCGATTAAAATCATTAGAAAGGTAAAGAGATCTGTTGTAAATTTACAACTTATTGATGTGTTGTAGTCATGCGAAATATCTGATAGAATTCCACTTCATAGTAATCACTACGAATTCAAATGTAATGAATGTTGTTTGCATTGGATTTAGGCTTTTTGTTTTGTCCAGTGACTGTTGCATTAGGTCATTATTCGATTTTAACTGTTTACAAATATAATATCTTGTTTGTTAATAGGTTCTTGGGTTCCTCTGAGAATCTGTATTTATTTCAGGCAGAAACGGGGTTTTCATTGGTCTTAAGGTTTAGTTGACATTGATGTATATTTTCCGTTTGAAAATCTACAATTTATGCATCTATGTGTTATCGTGATCTTTAAGAACTTCCGTTTTGACATTGTAAGGAAATCAAGTTATAGGATACTATGTTCTGTTTAGCGTGTTGCCTGAATATTAAATGAACTTATCTATTGCAGAATGATTTTGCTCTTTTTAATTGTTCACTATAAAAATTGTCTGCATGAAATTCATAATTCTTGTTGCCAAAGCTATTGTTTTAAATTAATGTGTCCCATTGTTGCTTTATTTATGTATTAATTTGTCTAATTACTTCAAGGGATACTTCAAAAGACGTTTGGATCGCTTTTTCGAAAAAAATCCTAACCAACCACTTGTACGCAATAATGCCTCTCCAGTACTAACACATGCCTATGAAAAAGCCCTAAATGCTCAGAACATGATCGCTTTATTTGAAAGATTGGGAATTTGTCCGTTTAACAACTTATCCGCATCCATTGGTGCATATACTACTATGGTATGTTTCTGCTATTACATTTGCTGAATTTTCCTACTATTGTAGATTGGGAAAAAGTTTACTTTTTATATTTTGGCTGTGTATTGAAGTTTTTTTAGCGATTATTGTTAATTTTCCGAGGTAGGGTTGCCAGTTCCACTTCCAACCTTCCCTCCATTTTTGGGCATAAACTAGCTGGCAAAGTAGCGAGCTAGTATCAAGTGACGGTATGTGATTTTCATCAACAGAATGCCTTTGCTTGATAATGAAGATCACATAGCCAGAAAAGATAAACAACAGGGAACTCTTGGAAAGAAGTTATTGCCTAACAAATATGCTAAAGACAATGGAGATGGATTGGACACACGCTAAGGAGACCGCCGAGTGACATCACGTGAACAAATCTTGGCCTTTGGAGAGAGAAAAAACAAAAAGTTCTGCTAAGAAATCCTCTCAGTGGTCTTTTCTAACCTCCTTTCTAATGACCTGAAGGCTATTTTCCACGATAACTTGGTCTAACTTCACTTAGCTTTTAACCAACTAGCTAATTCTTCAGCTATGCCGGTTCTTATTCAGTCGACATGACAGAGTCTACTCACTGCACGTAAGCCGACAGATTCCGCAAATTATATCCTAGCGCTTCCTTAAATATTAACCAAAAGCAAAGATGGTGGAATATTGACTTTTGCAATATTGACACTGAATTTAGTGAAATGCCCACCTTGTTATTTATTTTGGATTAAGTATCTTCAACAAAGTTATCAAAAGTAGAATAGCTGTAAGTGAACTGGATATTTAAAACAGACTTTCTACGCTACTTTTAGCGAGGTTTTATTTTATTGCTCTCTGAAGAATAAGTTTCAACTTTTGTCTGGTGATAATTATTTACAGGTTATTTGTTTACATGTGGATTCGATATTATGGCCCCTTATTTTACATATGTTAAATTCAATTTTCGGCGTAATAATCTAAATTTTTAGTGAAATCAATGATTTTCTATCACCATGATATTTATTCACTGAAGAAAACTACCTCACCATCAACTTAGTTTTTGAATTAGCCCCAGAGATGTTGATAAATCGATTAATTTCTAGGTATATTTCTTCACGAACGTACGTTAACTAGCAACCACTTTTACTGGAAGTGCACTGTATATATGTTATAATATTAAATATTTCAACGATGTACACTTCCGACTTTATGTGAGCTAGAATTCAGTAATGTTACGTTTTCTTAATGACACTCAGATAATTTACTTTATTAAAAACTGAAATCTAGATCTGTTTAATATCTGCAGTTTTTGCTTTTTGTCCATTAAAATTTCTGACTATTCTGTGTTGTGACTTTTTTGCCAGTTTTTCCTGCAAGATTTTTGTAGCTGATTTTGAAACAAATCTTAATCTTTTTGTGGTAATTTTTTAAGCAGATAGAGGAATACGAACAAGGCAGTATGACTGGAGAGAATAGTGATCCATATCTAGTCAATGAAGCAATGAACCCTTACTGTCAGTTCTCTAAACTAGAATGTCCACCAAGCTACCTCAACTATGTAAATACAAGCATTGTAAATGGTGGCGATTCAAAAGATCATATTATCAATACTTCTATTGATCCATGTTATCCAAACTCTACTCTGCCTAAGTTGACGACCACTCCTGCAACAGAAAACCCTCAAAGTAAGCATGAAATTTCGAGTTTCTTTTTAGAATAACTTTTTTTCATCACTTATTTTTGATTTTAGGTGGGTAAGTAACGAAAGATAAAGTAGTTGTGTAGTTTATCGACACTACATTTTGGTTCTCCCAGAAATTACAAGTTAAGATAAAAACAGTTGTTAAGTATTACTCGTTAGTCTGTACAAGACAGATAATCATAGCGCATACATATTACGAAGGAATGTTTGAAGATAGGTTGACTTACTGAATTAATTGATTAAATCTACTCAAAAAGCCTTACTTTGCACATTTTTTTTATTGATCTTGCGGTGTGTCACTGAAACATACCTTAAAATTACTTTAGTTTCTAACCTAACTCGAAAATGTTCTCCATGTTCCAACACCTTCAGCTTTGATTATATGCTTGGAGAATCTATAACTGTAACAACAGAAGGCAAGAGTCAGGCAACAGATCACTTATTAAGGAAATCAACGCATATTTATATATTTTCATATACATTATTATGGATAGTTAAGCGAACAAACACAGTCTTCCGATTGGTTGTTTCTCACTTAAGATTAATCTTTCATCTCTTTGTGACCGTTTCTTGAATGTCAAATCATCTATATGTTAACTGCATCCGCCTACGCAAAGTCTACTGTGGTCGTTTTTGAATCAATCTTTGTTCACATTTTCTCACGACAAATCTTGGGAACGTAAATATTGACGTAAACTACTGTCTACCGATTTGGCTAGTAGACAGCTCTCACCACATATCTTCGGTAGAAAATATCTTCGTGTACAGTGAATAAATGTTCTGACAATTGATGCAGTTCAATATTTTTATGTGCTTTTTGTATTTATTTTTACTTTTTTAGATATTTTAACATCTAAATCTAATGCATTCAATTGCAAACAGAATGTGTCATCTCATGAAAATAATTTCAAAACAACACATGCTGTTGTAACACAGTATTCGCCTTCTGGACGATCGGTAACTATACGTTTGCATGGTCCTGCAGCAGGTGCTATTCAGCCCGTCTCATTGCATGCAAGTGGAACGGTATTAATTCTGAAGAGTTATTTATTTTTAAGCATTCTTCTATATTCATTTGTCTCGAAGGTGGTACTTTGCTTTTATTCCATTCTCCCAATACATTCATATTTGATTTAAACGCATCTCATATATATATGCATATATATATATATATATATACTTTATTGAGAAGCAAGTATTACTTCATTATGCCCAATACTACATTATATTTTACAGAATAATGCTCTCTACGTGTAACCTTGATAGTCAAAGAGCTTTCTTTCATATTGTTGATCAGCTTTGTCGTTTTCTATTTGCTTATTACTAGGACATCTGACTTGGAAAGAATTTTTCACTTCAATCAATCTCGGTTGTCGCTCTGAATATTATTATTATGTCTTCTGTGATACACTAAATTAGTTTACTCAATCAAACTGACGGTATATTTGCTTATACTGTGTGTTGATGGCGTAATACTGACTGTTACTTTCTGAATATACAGTTATTCTGAATTGTGTATTACGATCTCAGTTTGTTTCCTATATGCATGATAATTGTATCACATATGACTTGTGTCCTATTATTATACGATTAATACTTCTGTTACATTCACTTACCACTGTTTAGATTCTTTATTTTATTTATCATCAAATTTTATAATCTATGTTGTAGGATGAACCAGTATCTCGTCCAAGCAAAGATGCTCCATCTTTGGATACTTTCGCTAGTTCAGATGTAAATATTTCTCATGAAGAAGAAGTGGGTTGTGAAACATCTAGCTCACAAACAGTACCGAATGAAACACGCTTTAATTCAGGTCAGCATATGCAGTTGTCTCAAACAAATAGTGCAAAATTCCCTGTTAACAAAGCAGTTGTTGAAAGTATGGATGGCATAGAAGATGGTGAAGCACTTGACTTTTGTGTTGTTTGTGGCCAGTTGGAACCACCAGAATTATCTTGTCAACCGAATACTAACCAGACAAATTCAAATGAATTACAGGTAAAATGTTTAAAATTGAAAGTTTAAACTGCAACTTAGTTAAAACTCTTTCAGATATATAGTAAAATCACTGCATTCTTTCTTTTTGCTAGTAAATACCATTTTGACCAACTTGAACATTAAGTGGAGAATATCAGGGGAGAAGTATTCCATCCTTTAATTGAAGAGCGGTTTGTATAGAAACTCATATCTCATTATCATCATGGTTTTTATCGGTTTCATAATTCCTGTTATTTTGTGATCACTTGTTTCTTCGTATCACTCAGTTCCTCACAAATCGTTTAGTTGAACTATACAATTACCATTAGAAGTGACCTTTGAGATGAGTTTTCTTAAATTCTAGCAAGATGATAATACTTTTAACTGGCAAGTGTGAACAGAGGTGTACGAATGACAATGAAAGTGATCGCGTTACATCACTAGATGACTGATGTCGCTAAATGAGGGACATTAGGCTCTGTCGTGATAGCTGAAAGTATTCCCGTTAAGCGTTAGAATCCCCTCATCAATCCTGCATAGATCTTTGGTTGTAGGTCGTCAAGAATAAACAAAACTAGAATAAAATAATTGCCCATTTCTTGTGACTCCGAATGAATGGATTGTTAATCATTCGCAGTTGTTCGTTAGAACTATCTTCAAATCAGTTACTTCCCTAGATCTCATTTACTTCCACAAATATCTTGTTTTAAAGTCTTAATTCAACACTGTAGTGTTTATTGACAGAGTTATTTCGAGTGAAACGGAATACGTCAAAAAGTGTGTAGCAGTGATTTTTCTACATTCCTTAGAAGTTTGTCAAATCATGGAGCTCAGCGATTTTTTGAGAAAAAATCAACTCTTTAGTGTCGTAGTATGCTGCCGCTGATGAAAATTGTCAGGGTTCTTTAATCTTTTTATACTTGATCGTTAACGTTTCATCTTAAAGCTGAATAACAACACCAAAACAAAACTCTCTAATGAAGTTAGTACTGAGTGTGTCACAAAGCCTGGAGATGAAATGTCCTTGATCAACTTTAGAAACTTGAAAAAAAAACCTAGTGATTTGTGTGACACGAATAAGTTTCTTTTCGTTAGTTTACAATCCTATGTTGTTTGAAAACAATTACAACAGAAAAGACACATTTTGTTAGAGTGTAATGTTATTTAAAAATTTTCTTTGAATGTAGATTTTTTTTGTTTTGTTAAAAACTGATGCTTCAGTTTATCACCTTAAAAGTCTGAATATACTAATTGTATCTTCGACTTCAAATCATATTCACAATTATGCTTTATGGTGTTATTTTGTTGTGTTATGCATTGACTCACCACTAATCATTTGATTTTTGTTGATATCATAGTGTTAAGACTGATTTCTCTTTGTTTACACAATTTTTGTTATTAAATAATTAAGAGGCAATTTTACTAAAAAAAAAGTTTTGTTTTTGTATACGATTACTTGAGATTTTCTTAAAAATTATCAATTTTTTAGGTAATCGACTGGGCCCATTGTGATTACTGTAATCATTGGGTGCATTTGAACAGTTGTTGTAGTGAAGGAGCTGTAATTGGCAATAATTCATTTATGTGTGTTGTTTGTCGAAATTCTGGGATTGGCGAAAGCATTAAAAGTCTTCATGAGGAAACTGAGTCACCGAAAAAGACTGAAGAGGCGGAACAATCAACTAGTGATAAATCTTAAACTAATGCTGATAATATTTTCTCTTTTGTTGTCTTCCATTCAGTTATTCATTAAATATGTACATAGAAATTGATAAAAGATATTTTTGTAATTAACCAGGACAATTTTTACATTCCAAGTTGTATTTTGTTTAGTTTCACTGAATAAGTGTACTGTTCTCTACACTGTATTCTGTTTGTTCTGAATCTTTGCTTACAAATAGAATTTATAAGAATTTTTTTACAATCTACCATGCAATTATTTAAATTAGTTGTGGTTGTTATTGTTCTGGTGGTCGTGGTTTGAGGGAATTTATTCTATATTCACAGAAGTGAACTGTAATCTAGATGGCTTAAAAGGACAATAAACCAATAAACGATGAATGCTGTTTACCATCATTTTCCCCATTTATTGTTAAGCATATTTTCTAGTTCAAATTTCAGTTCCATTTTTAGTGTTTATGATCTTTTTCGTTCTCTCTTTTACCCCCTCTTGTTCATTGCCTTTTTGTTCCATATGTGGCTGTGTCAAGTGAATCTGTAGATAGATAAGATTGTAATTTTTCTTCTGGGGGAACTGTTAGTGCTATTCATTATAATATATGCAGTAACATGTGTTGTTTAAAACGTTTCTTTTGTCATTTTATATCTAGTTATTCAGGTATTTAGGTCAAAGTACATTCAGGCTTTTCTACACAATGAGGAAATAAGTCATGCTGGGATCTACACCTTTTTATCGCAACATACTCAAGCATAGTCAAATAAGCTGTTCGTTAATTAGGCTTACGCCAGTCATTTGAAGATATAACTGGTTATTCACAATCAAAGATTTGCTAAAGGAGAATACATTTGAGAACCAACATGTATAGGTTGGCGTAGATTATGGTGATGATTATAAAAGTAACCTTTAAACTAGAGGACAAAAACGGCTTATTATTCTGAGTAAATTTACTGTCTTTTGCCTTATTTACTGATTTCTTATGCAAATTTCAAGCAAGACCATTCATATCTTTATGTTAAATAAACAGGCTGAAACCTGTCTAGAAGGTACACAAATTAATGCATTACATTTTTATGCGATTTAATACTTTTGAATCAAATAGGTTGTTTAATTTATAAGAATTTTCTAATTAGTAATCACATTCATCATCCACATTTAATTCTTTCTTGAAACCCAGAGTCTCATATTCATCATTTAATTCTATAGATATATAATTATAGATGAACAAGGAGTGAGTGGATGTCCTGATTTTATGAGGTACTCAAAGATTTGTGATGTGGCCGGCCCGTTTCATTTGTACACTTGTGATACAACCGATATTTCCTTAGTTCTCTAACCTTGAGTTAAGGATATGTTGAAGATTTAATAGATTAATGGTCTGGAGGTTTATGAGAGGTGGATAGGAGAAACATCCAGACAAATTTACTTATTTTTTTATTCGGATAACCTTTCGGGTAGTGAGTCATGCCCGTTTTTAGCTGATTTCTGAAAGTTCGTCATTTGGACACAGTGAAATAAATATTCAAGTTTGATGTCATCCAAAAATGAGAAGTTTGCGATATGAAGCACATCTACATATCATATTCATACTTTCCAGAACATGCCTTGAGCAGGTAAAGCATAGAAAATGACCTTATGCAAACATGTTAGCTTAGTAGAAATTTAATAAGGTTTTAGTAGACACACTCACCACTTGTTCTTCGAAAACTGTTCGGTACAACGAACACTACTGGATTTCAGTTATTGTGAGGGCAGGAAGAAAACTGATACAAAATCGAAAACGAATTATGCCAAAAGGAACTCAAGCAGGTCGGTTACCAGAGTTGTCTGAAAGCACTTCAGGTCATTTAACTGCTGGCCTCGTATAGAAACAACGATCAGGGCTGTCGTGTATCCACCTATTCCACTATAGTAAAACTTTGACGACGCAGATGTCTGACTCGTTAGGCTGATCCACTATAAACTTGTGGACATAATTCTGGCGTAACAACTGAAAGAAGACTATAACACATATTCCTGAACAAGGAGGTATTCAGTCTAATGTGTACTAAGCGTTTAAATGGCCATACTGAATATGCAGTGGTCATGCTCTGGTCTCTTGAGACACTGTTTATCCACTATCTGACAGCTTCAAACTCAGCCTGAAGAGGCAACTAAATCAACTTCAACACTTGGACATGGCATTCGGTAGGCTAGGTAAACATGACGATTTCATTAGTATCAACCACTCGCCTCTTTATGAAGTAGCTACGAATATCAGGAATATAGAACAACATAGTCGGCACAGAACTTCTGGCTGGGTACTGTGCTATGCTTCCGACATTCAGTGGAGGGCCGCGAATTCATAATTTTCAAGGATCATAAAGCAGTCAGGTCCTCTCTGAAATCAACCTCAGATATGTGTCTACCAAAGAAATCACAACACCTAGATTAAGTTTCACAATTTTCATTGGGTATTATCCAGAGTCAACAACAGTGAAAGATGCTTTGTCACGCATTTGTTTGTTCATTCAAGTAGATGGCATAGATACAGTGGAACTGGTTCGTCTCCAAATGGAGTAAACCGAGCGTCATCATGATTTATCGACAACATCTGTGGAATCAACCGAGAAAGTGTTAGGAATTAGTAAGGACGCTGTGCATTGTGACCCTTCTACATGTACTAATTGCCCTATCGTGACTATAAATTATCGTCGAAACGTCTTCAATATGTTGCAATGCATCACTCAGGCATTCAAACTACCATCAAGCGCATTATCATTCGGTTTTATTGGTATGATACAGATAGCGAATTTTTGTATTGGGCCCTTACATGTCTAGCTTTCCAATAGCGCTAATTGGGAAGGCGCACCGAAAGCCCCCTCGACACACTTCTTACCCCAAATACCTGCTCCTGACACGTTCATGCAGAGCTGACTGCACCCTATCAAAAATCTCCTAGATATACGTATATTTAGTCATGCATAGACCCTTATGCTCGATGGACTATAGTAGAACAATCAAAGACGAATCCGCTAAAACCGTAGCACGCTTTTTCGTAGAAAGATGGATCTCAAAGTTTGGACTCCTATCCTCAAAAGCAACAAATCGTGTATTGTTTACCGTTAGCTTTGGCTAAAATCCTAGGCTGCATAAGCTAAGAGACAACAGCACACTATTCTCAAACAAGTGGTGTGGTATAACGTTTTCACAGACAACTGACGGCTGGATCGCTAGTCACAAACACTACGTATTAGACTAAATCACTCCCCTCACTCCTCTTTGATGGTCTCAAAACCGATGCTGGCTGCACTTCTGCTGAGCTAGTATATAGAATGAAACTACTTCTAGCAGCCAGGTTTGTTTCCCTCTCCAGTTTCCCATAAACTTTAGATCATGTCTCGTCTGTCATTATTCCCGAAAACTCAGTGAATTCAGTTAAGCCTGCTCCCTTTTGACCACAGTCCATGGATGTCTTTGTTGACACAGACTTAGAAAGTTCCCCTATATTTGATCGTCGCCAGCCAGAAGCCCCATACGATGGACCATGTGAAGTTATTAAACACTTGGACGAATTCTCCTTTCTACGAAAGATGGCTTCCAAGGCTGTCTCAGAGTCCATCTTCCAAAACAGGCCTACCTAGAAGGCAATTCCATACTCATTAAAACAGTAGTTCTGGATAACACAGCCAACCGAATGCACACTAAACCTCGGAGAAGCAGCCAGCACTGTGAAGACAGACGAAGCTTCTAATTAGACTCTCAGATCCCCACAGCAATTTCATACTTTTCTTGCATGCTAAGGATAACGTTTCCTACATCTTTAAGAAAAAATGCAAACTATTCAGCTAATGGCAATTGTAAAGCATGTAGATTATTTGTCAATGCATCCCATATCGTAAATAAAGTGTAATTATTTATGACCATACATGTAACGTGCAAGTCGCTTAAAAAAGTTTCAGGCATGGTTTACACATGTCAAGGTCTAACCAAAAATTTTGATAAAAAATATTCGATAACGCTCAGCATTCTTGTGTTCTTTTTCAAGTGTAAGAGTTACTGGACGAGAAGGTCTGAGGCATGAGATCCAGCCGACGAAAGCCTTCGAGACGATTCGCAAATACGACAATGGCATAGGCAAAAAACCAGCAGACAACCCATTGCCAACAAACCCATCGTAATAATTTAACTAATATTGCTACCATCTACATTCTACTAACTGCTGACTTCGTCTTAAGGTCCTCGCAACCCGGCAAGATGGAACTGAGCTGTAGCATTTTATATTTTCCCGAAATTATTAGCTTACACCGTTCCTTACTCAATGTTGGATGCCGAACTTCACTGTTCAAGTCGGCTTGTTGAGTTCAAAGTTTGCGGTCAAGACTCCGTTCCGTTCGACACGCTGCCGCACCAAGTCAGCTCGTTCGTGCACAATCCCTAGCTTGCAGTACGATTTTGATCCAGAAATACATATCTTATTTTGACGTCCTGAGAAGCTGCAAAATGGTATCAAATACACTTATAGATAATACATCATCGATAGTACATTTACAAGATACATACAAGAAGCAGCTGGAGACTCCTTGGAATGGTAGTATAAATTTGCCATGTTCAATGCTAACCAGTTTAGTCTAAGCATTGAAACTATGACGTTGTCGATGAAAATATAGCTTTGTTCGTACAGTGGTGCTGTTTAGTTTTTAATTAAAACAACCAGACTTTAAGCAAGCAACAAATATGAACAAAGAGTGAGTTGTAGCCTTAACAAAGTCCCAAGTAGTTAACATTAAAATAGAGTGTAAGTGTCTGTGAATAAAAAGATTATCGTGAGGTAGATAAGTGATATTTCAGTGAGAATTTAATTCAAAGATCTGCAAGATTAGAACCCGTAGGACAAGCTGACCTGTAAGATGCCTCTCGAATTTCTGTAGGGCCCATGATGGTGATCAGCACCCACTTTTCTAACACCTCCAAACACCGTTTCAAGCTTTACCTTTGCTACCGACATGCCAATGTATTGTTATAATAATGAACTGTGTTTCCTTAATCTATGTAGAATTCTATTTATTGATAATGTACTAACTGGATGCGATAGTGTAGTCAAAATGCTGAGAATTCCATTCTGTATCACATGTACTGTTTTGGAATAAGGCAAATTAATTATTATTATTATTAAGAAGCTGAACTGGCTTGTAGATTGTAGGAGGAAAAGCATTTTTTAATAATCTAGATCTGTACAACCCTTTTTTTCCTTTTCTGTTAAGGGTTGAGACTTATAATTAATTCTCCTGCAGTCAAAAAATGCATGTTGCTATCCTACAGATCTGAGCGATTCACATTTGTAACCAATACCATATCTGCTGATCAGCATGCGCCACCCTTCCTCTTTCTTTATGTTAAACTCTGAGATTTTTTTGGAAACTGGAATATCATGAGTCTATGTGATAAAAGGTAAGTTTAACTCCGGAATCACTTGACTTGAACAGTAGAGACAGGCCAGGGTTGACGTAGTTTTATTCTCAATCCTTTCGTTGAAAATTTTATATTTAATTTTTCCCGAAATGAGCATATGACAAAGTGAAAGTTTCATTCAAAGAATCGCCAGTTGGCAGTTTACGTCTCAGATCACATCCTCACAATATTAGACAACGTTACAAGCAATAAAAGTCATTTATACTTCGACAGCCTTGGTTATTTAATTGTTGTGTAGCGGTTAATATTAAAGTAACGTTACTTCTCATTGTAATATTGAATTTGTTAGGTTATCTAGTGTTAGGTGGGATAAATAAGTTGCTGCTGTTCCTAATATCATATGATAAACATATTCATTTCTTTTCGAGTTTTAATATGGTTTTCAGTTGTATATAAGTTAACAAGTTTTACGTATAAATGTACATAAGAATATGACTAGAGTGTCAATAATCATAATCCACTACATTAGAAAGTGGCAAAACAGAGATAATATTTTGTATTTTTGATATGTAATACGATGTCCCTAAAGTAGTCTTTGTTTATAAATACTTAATACAGTAAAACAGCCAATTTGCTGATTTGGTTCTTCTTTTTTGTTCTCCTAATTATTGCACTTAAATCAAATGCAATACACTCCTTTTTCTGTAACGTAATAGGGATATACTCTTAGGTTACTAGTACACTGTTGCAGTTTATTCTTAATTCCTTGACTAAGTGCTCAGACTGCGTTGTTTAATATATTTATGTCCGCTTTATCTCAATGTAAATTGTTTATGTTGGGCCGTAGAAAATAGCAACTAAATAGTTGATTGGACAAAGTACTCAAAGGGATTTCCAGACACCTTAGCACCGTTTGAAACAGTTGTGTATGTAGACGAGGAGTGATTTCCAACAACGGCTCGGTTGCCTCCTCCCTTTTTGTTCGTTTGGTATGTCTCATGTTTCTTAGAGAATTGTACTAAAATTTTCAAGCAATAAGAATTGCCTAGTTTCAATGTAATTTGCGGAAGTTTATATACTTTCTTGCCGTCAAACTGAAGCGTTTACCTAAGTGCAAAGCTGTTATACACCGGCACTGCGCGCCTTTCGCAATTCTCAGCTGCTCATTTATCTAGTGAAATTTAGTTAACTGGATTTAACTAACTTAAGGGTGTTTATCGTGTTTACTGGTACCTTCCTATGGCCATCAAGCATGCAATAAAATTATGAATTCACCGAACCTAGTCATAGGTTAACTTACCATTCTATCTACTTACCCATTTTGGACATTTCACACTATATTTAAGAATTGCTACCTATTAATGGTGCTTTATTCATTAAACGTCACTCACTACTTATAATGATATGACTTAAAGTTTTTGCGATAAGTCGGTATTCTTTGAAAAAAATGAAGTCTAAAACTTCTGAAGTCTAGTTCCTTTGGCCTGAAGGTTTTAATGACACATCTCTTGTTAATTATCATTCTCTTGGGCCTCCAGTTGAACGTGGAGCTTCAGTAGCACATATACATTTTGTCCTGTGCTGGCTCCAAAGTCGCCTATAATCTCCCATCTCATGCAGTATCCTCCTTGTCACTCTCAGACGCCCAAATCGCCGCGATTTCACTCAACGGTCTTCTTAGTGTGCGTTCGTTCCATCTCCCTTTTCTTCCGTATATTTGTGGAGCCGTAGGTTCTTCGTTGATTCGTCCTAAGAGTTCCTTGTTGTCTACCTTTTCTGGCCATCTGGTTAACTGCATAGATCTATCGAAGGCAACTGTTGTTGAAAGTTTTCAGCCTGTTGGAAGTGCTTCTGGTCACTCGCTAAGTCTCTAAGCCGTGGATAGTCACTGTTATAATAACATTACGGGTTTATTGACGCTTTTTTGGATATTGGTTACTGTCCTTTATCCCAAAACCATGCTCCACATGATTTATACTATGTTGTTTCAACTAATTAGTCGTAGTTCTGCTTTCTGATATTTTTATGGAGTAGTTGGTAGTGTCAAAATGTAAAGCATGTGGCTAACAAGATTTGTAAATAGCATATTGGTGATGACCTTTGCAAGAGTCTTGAGTAGCCGAGTGATGGACTAAGCCGCAAAAGTGAGCTAACGTCTCAGTATTAGGCTTTTATATTTTGCTATCACTGTATAGCATTGCCAAATTAGCAGTTCTACTACCAAGTACCACTGTTTTTCACCCGTACAAGATGATTTACTGTGTCAAACGTAGTGTTGTGTGTGAAATAAGGATGTTGCTCACTGGCTAAAGTTCTTGGTTTTTAGTAATTGAGTCGCGGGTCCCAGTTGTGCTTCATCTATTGCAGCTGGTTAGTGTCATAAGCCCTCATGTAATAAGTGTGGTCTTTAACCTAATCCTTGAGTAGTGTAAGAAGTTATGCCTTTCATTTTGCAGTCCAACAACTTTCGTAACTTCACATCGCAATTTTAGTTCAAATATGTAGTCAGATACGGGATTTTAAGTAAGGAGGACATGTTAGTTGATAGTTTTACCAACTAAAACATTTTTCAGTTTATGTGCTATTATTTTTCACGACAAGCAGCGAATACAATGGTAGCGTGGAAAAAAGTTAAGTGTAGTCAAATCAAGACACGGCATCAATTTCTGATGCGTTTGACATACAGCAGTTGCTAAAGTGTCAACTACAAATGGATAAGTTTTTTAAATATTTTTACCTAGGTGTACTTTAAAATTAAGTTCTTGTGAAGACGAGTCCTTTTAAAATTACTAATTTATTCTGATATTTCTAGACTTAAAAATTGTAAATACTAATATTTTAAGCATTTAGGGGATGTATCAATCATTATTTCGTTTTACACTTGATGTACTGCACACTTTTAGGTTTTCATGTTTTCCATTGCCTCTAAAACTATTCAAAAATTACTGTCAACTGCACATGTTCGTCCGCCGAAGTGTTTCCTGTCTACATCTATTAGTTTGTGCAAAAAGAATAATATCCACAACTTTAATGGAAATACGTTAATATCTAGAGCTACTGGTCGCAATGAAGACCTATGGAGTTTATATAACGAAGTAGTTTATCCACCGTTGCCCAAAGCTTCTGCGACTTCAAGTGACGTGTCAGAGCATATTATTCGTCCTGGTGAAGTTACGCACCGCCGTGATGATATTTTATACAGTCAAAAGAGACTTTGGTTGCTGGCTCAATTGGTATGTTAAAAACTTAAGCTTGGAACTTTTTGCTTTTAACCGGTCACTGCATATAACTCTCTTAACATTAGCATTAAACAGGAGAAGTTGTTATTATTTCAAAAATTTCTAGTGTCTGTACTACGCAATAGTAGTTTTTCCATTCAGGTCTTAAGCTTTGAAGTTTCAGTAACGGTGTTGTTTTCCTTTTTTGCGAGGCGTTTTTTAGCCTGTCGTCCAACTTTCTCTACTTTCTAGCTTTACTACCAGATGGTAAACTAGGTGAAACTTGAGAGTAAAATTATGTGACACTGTGTATGGGTTACTGTTTGGCATCAAATATGTGGTGGTATATAGGAAGAAAGCATTAGATTGAAGTTTGATACTTGTTAGCTCTCATTGCTATCGTTGTGAAGGTTGATGATACTACCCAGCTCCCCTTCCAAACTGAAGTAGCTGTAGCGTGTAACTCGAACCTGTGATACATTAGCTGAAAGTCAAACACTAAAGTCTGTAAGACATCGTTGAGTTCTATTAACTGAAATCAACTTTTTAATATTCTTGCCTCTGTATATGAAAAATATCTTTCTTCAAAGGTTCTAGGGAACAATCTTGACAACAAAGCCGTTTTCAGTAAAAGATCGTGGGCGTACTTGTATCCGGCATTTAAATGTCACATGGAAATCAGAGTTGGAGATGGATTAGAATGCAAATAAGAGTGTGGATGATTTTGAACAAAATTCTGATAACCTGAATTTCTACCTCCCAGTCACATAATCTGGACACCTCTTATATTTGGTTCAAAACAGAAGCTTTTAAAAGGATATTGGTCTGAATATTTTGAAATAAGTAGTTCATATTTTTTAAGCGTCGTAAATATCTGTATGAGGAAAACTCTACTTAGAGGTAGTTAGTGTCTGACCTAATTAAATACACTAGAAATCGTTAAATTTTCTTGTATTATTGATAAGAGCTTTTCGTTTCATAAGACCAATTTGTTCCCTTATTTTTGCATTTCAGATTCGTGGACGATCGGTAGATGATGCTTTCGCTCAGTTGGGATTTCGCCCAGAAAAAGGTGCTAGGATTCTTGAAGAGGTGAGTTTAGGAAAATTTCTTAGAGCCGCCACTATGAAGATAGACTTTGGCGAACTGGAATTTAACATTATTTCACGGTTTCTATCTTCATATATTTCCTTTTTTTAAAATAAAAATTCACCCACATTAAACGGGGGAAAAGTAATATTACAGTCGTAAATTCCACTTTATTTGTAAATGACTTTTATCACTTTAAATAAGTTCCTTCATAGCGAAATCAAATGACAATATGTAGTTGCACGCGATAAAACAATTCATATTTATTTCTGAAGTATGTTCTAGAATAGCGTTTACTCTTTATATCATTCCGAAAAATGGATAGTGGCAATTTTTCTCTGTGGTAACTAGTGGGACATATACCGCCTAGCTTCACCCACCAGGCTTGTAAAGACCCATGCACTTTTCACTCCAGTGTCTGTATTTCAGGTGTTGCGTGTGATTGAGCCATCGTAGTCTGGTAACTGATTTCCGTGTTGGTTATTCCTATTTTTAGGTGTTACAGATTGATTAGAAGTGTGGCTAAATTGAAAAAATTATCCGTGAGCGTCACTCATAAATGAAAGTGTGACAGTTTCATCTATTGTAGTTAGGTAGTTAGTTAAGTGGTGTATTTATCATTCCATCATAAAATCTTTGAATTCTAAAATCAAACAATAGATTGTATTGCCTGGAACTGTTGTTAATCCAGTGAAATTTGAACTACTCAACAGCACTTTAAGCATTATTATTGCTTCCTTTAATTCCTAGAGGAACATAGGGCTTCAGCTGCGCGTCTCCATTGCGTTCGGTTCTCTTGCCCATACGTTTTCATCTCCTCTTCACATGACCTCCTCCAAGTCACCCTTGCACTGACGACCAACTCGCCGCTTCCCTTTCGGGTTCCACTCGAGGGCTTGTATAGTGATGTCACTTGATGGTTTCCTAAGAGTATAGCCAATCCATCTCCATTTCTTCCTGCCTATTTGTTTCACATTAACTTATTAGTAAAGGTTTGTTAATTGTTAAGTGCTCTAGATGTAATTTACAGTCTACATGCAGACCAAACATTTGGATTAACCCAAAAAACCTCCATATGAATATGTTAACGACTGTTGGATGTCGTTTCACAATTTCTTTGTTTCATAAGTACTGTTTTGGTGTATTGGATTGTAATATTTTCTGTTCATAATGAAAATAAAGTTTATTGAATATACTTGTTTAAAATTCATTGGGTTTGACTTCACTTCACAAAATAATTCTTTAGCGACTGACCGAATAATTCTATCTGTATGAGATTGCCTACTCTTATTTAATAAGTAGTTATATATCGAGACAATTACTTTTACTGTTACCCTGTTGAAATCAATATATTTGTATTGAATGAGTTAAGTACGACTGTGTTTTTAAGTGTTTATAGTACCTTTTTTCATATGCAAATGGCGGCCTGCTAAAAATTGGGCTACCAAGAACCTCCATCAATATATTGCATGCAGTTTTCTTTATTCAGTTTGTTCAGATATGGTAAAATATCACCTCTCAAAGTGTTGTTTACTCTGGCGAATATTTGAAACATTTACAACCCGCAGTTTCTCAAGTTCCCACTAAACATGTGCAAAAGCATTATACTCTATGGTACCTTATCCTGGTGCATTAGGTGACCGTTCCTGAATGGTGTTCTTGGTTCACTAAACGTGCTCCTGAACATTTTATAATTGGCATTGAACCAAATGACGTGTATTTCTCGAAGGAGATAAAGAAGAGATATCATAATAGATTGGTTTGCGTTTTAGGTCAGATAGGACTGTGTCATACGACCTACTGTCGATTATTCCTTTATTAGAAGACCACCGACCAATAGAAGATGACATGCAATTAGCTCCGATGAAAATTCTGTAAATTATATAAATATTGTTCCAGAATAATGCTGTTCCTATTATTATTATCATTAGTAGTAGTAGTAATTTCTGTAAATAAAAGCAAATGCTTTGTCTAACGTACTCAATACTGTGCAACCTTGCTCAAAATTATTATTATTAACTGAATTTTTCACTGAAATGTCTGTTTCTGTTTGATTGATTACAGGTGTTAGAGGAGGCAATAGAACTAGCAGTGAAAGAACATGACTTTGAGTTCTGTACAAAAATTTGGATAGGTAATTATTATCCAGTAAAATTTATTATTATTATTACTACACACTTATTTGACACTGTGTTTCCATTGTTAAATAACTTGTGAATATTTAACGGTTGTGTGTGTGTTTTCAAATGGAAAAGAGTTTTTCTGGTAGTATTCCACATTTTTGAGGACAGTTTCGTGTCAATTCCTAGTTTTCAGTCGGCATCGGATGAAGACGTAAAATTCATAATCCTCACATCTTAGTAACATTCTATCTTTATTCTTTTTAAATGTGTGAAGATCTTTGGCGTTATGACATACTCTTTTTGGGGGGGACTAAATGATAGCCTTCAGGAATAGGTTAAGTTAGGAGATTCATCTTGCTAATAAGTGCCGATAGAGAATTTGTATCTATTGGTTCAAAAATGTTAAGTACCAAATCACAGTCGATTGATAAACAATATCATTCAAATTAGTAATTATGTTACAAACTTTACCAGTATCAGTTCTTACTACGTAGCCAATTAGTAGGATGTTAATTCATCCTATAAAAGTATCATTAACAAATAAAGCATTATTACTACAGAATATCAGTATCATTCATTTGCAGGTATTCTCAGTCAGGTCACACTGAATATGATTATATTGATCATTCTTTATATGAGTATATTTTCAGTTAACTAAGTAAGAGTGTCCTCAAAATAGTTACTATTAAAATGTATCAAGTTATAATCATCATTTTGAAATCATATATATTACTATTATCAGTTCTCTCATATAATAACAAAGGTATGGTTAGTTTCCCAGTGTATACACAAAGATGCACGTAGTGTAACAGTAGAAGACAGGCAACTTGGTAACGGAGTGTTTATTTGGAAGCTGGTATCTCTATATGAGAAAATGATCTACATCTTATCTGAGAATCTTCATTTGCATAGACCTTCTGTATTGTGCTATTTCTGCACTTCGTATTGTGTTTCTTTGTCTTCTTTTCGTGTCTCTTATACTTTTTTAGCAACACTGGTTCATTTGTTCTCTTTGACGTCAAGTCTATCACTTTGCTATATGATATTTTAGTGTTGCTAAACGTTTGTTTATATACTACTGACAAATCTTGTTAGTAGTACACGCCACAGTAACTGTTAAGTAACCATTTTATTGTGTGTTTTGACACTGTAATAAGCATAAACAAGACAAACACAATGTCTTACAAAATATCATCAATTTATTTTCTCTCGTTAACTTTCTTGTCAGCTAAAGAATACAATAAAAATTTTGATGAACATGTGAATAACTTGTTGTGTTAAAGTTATACACATAGTTTACAAAAGCCTGAAGAAAATTGTATAAAAAGAATTTAAAAATAAACTGCTGATCATTATCAAAATTAATGCATTGTTATGTAATAAGAAAATTTACACAAATTGATAAATCCAGGCTTTTGTTTAAGCAAGCGAAGCGTTAGGCACAAAATCAATTGGATCAATTTAAATATTTCGATCAATACAAAAAATCAAAGTGCTTTACAGAAGTAATAAACAAAATTTCGATGATAAATAGTGAAGTCAGCTGCAATAACTATTATGCCATTAGTATCAGCAACTACCCGATTGCCTGTTATTTTGATTTTATTCCTTTACGTTCCTAGTGAAACATAGGCCTTTGAAGTCTCGGTTTCAGTAGGTTTATTTCTACGGGGCCGATGGTTGCTAGCCGTACCATCGGTTTAGCGAAATTCAGGAGTGCGTCAACCGGGAATCGAACCTCGGGTCACATGCGTGGTCCCGATTACTAGCCAGGTAATTTATTATTAGTTGAACTATGAAGACCAAAGCCTAGTCAAAACATGGAATCAGTATAACGTCTGAGATATAACCTATAGGTTATGGGTTGGAATTTCCTCATTTCTTGTTGAATCTAGTAGTAGTGTTCAATCATGAGTATTGATGAACAGAGATGTAATTATAAGTAGGTTATAAAGTGGTTATCATAATTCACATTTTTAATTCATGTTACTTAACAACCTATTAAAGGCTGGTTAATTTCAAGGCACTGAGCACTGTCAATGCCCAGGGTATCATCAAATTGTGTATTATTATTATTCTCGGTTAAATGAATCACGTTAATTTACTGTTTAATTGCTGTTTTCCGGAAATATTCAGGATGAACACAACTTTTGGTAGCACTGTTTATTAGACAACATTTTTATGCATGTATTTAAAAATCATAGACAAGTAGGCTGTAGAGTTGTATACTCCGTACAAAATTATTCATTTCATCATAATGCGTTCATTATGTTATTCAGATGGCTCATTGTTTTTATTATTAAATTTTGTTTTTGTCTTTAGAGTCACTTTATCCTCTACGTGGTCGAATGGTTCCCCGTTTATACAAGGGTATTAGGTCTACAGCGCATAAAATTAATTTTCACTACACAAATTTATACATCCGTTTAAGAGAAGGTGATCCTCCAAAGCTGTATCATCCAAATCAAGTGAAAGGAGTATGGACTCCAGCTGCAAATTGTCCACCGGAAGGCAGAAAATGGGGTTCAACACGAGAAATGGTACATCGTGAGCTACATAGGCTACGAAGTCGAGAGTTGAAAGGAAATCTATGAATAAACTTATATGTTTTGTTATAACAAGAAAAACCGATGTGAGAGCATTTCTGTTTACTAATTTAACTAAGTCAATTTAACCATTCTAAAACTTTAACCTTATTTGTACATTACTATTACTGAAAACTAGGTACAACTTTATCATATGAAAAACTGTTTGTATTGTGAAATAAACCTTGTAAATAAAGTTGTTTTTCTAGAGTAATTGTACTTCATTTTTTGACACTTTATTGCACATACAGTTAGCTTATTTTGGCCATATTGTTGTTAAGATGTTTGGTGGTTTCAAAGTTCATTTTATTTAAACTGTAATAATGTTATCAACATTGCAGAGTAGATATGACTGACAGCATGTGAATAATAAAGTGCAGCCTGGTAAACACTAATAATATTCATGTATTAGACTGTGATAAACCACCTACGTTGTGTTGAATATCTGTGATATCATGTTATATGCACATTTGTTCTTTCGCTGTAAGTCCTTTTCGTTTGTTTGTGGTATATTTTCGAAGTGTATCAAAGCTTTGGCTTGAAATGATCTGTTTGCTTATTTTTTTAAATCATAATGTTAAATTGTCATAAGCGCTATAAAAAAGTAGTAATTAGTGTTGTCTAAATGTGCCTAGAAAAAATTAATTTTTATTAACTCTAGAAATAATCAGTGAATCTTCTTAGGAGTTGGCAAATAGAACGGGTTTTGTTACAAATCAAAACATAGCGTCAATCTATGCAGTTACTGACTAGTATTTTGAGGCGCTCAAGCAGGTGTCAGTTGCCAGATTGTGGTCTTGAATAGTAAAGATGACAGATTTAGAGACTCTTTGTAGTACTACTGAAAGTTTTTTACAATGGTACAGACACATATGTTCCTCTTCATCTTGCATTATAGTTTTACTGCGTGTCCTCCTTCTAAGCTTTTCAGTGATGTCTAAGTCGGCGTAGACAGTAAATTGAAATTGGCGTCTGGTAAAAACAATCAGGGTATGAAAAATTCCTATGTGATGTAATCAAGAATACAAGTCCGCAGAAAGATCTCTTTTCTTAACTTTACTCCGAAATGAAGAAAAGAGATCTGTTTACTGATTGATGTGTTCTTAATTCCAATCAGCAGTCCCTATTGATACAAAAAACACAGCTTTCACACAAGAAAATTCTCTTTGCGACGATTTCACTTTCACTGCTGAACAAATCGTATTTATAGATGGATTAATATAGGCTACAACAAGTACGTTTGTTGTATGTTAAAATTCTCTGACAATGGGTGGAACTAGTGAAATACAGTGATACTGGTTTAAATTAATACGAATCAGAAATGGAATAGAAATATGCATAAATAAAGGTTGACACAAGACTCAGTAGCCGTGAATAAATAGATGGTAGGAAGATTCAGTACATTCGGATACATGAATTTTCCAGGTTAAATGACATAGAGTGGAAGAATAAGATCAGTAAAATATCGTTAATAAACTGAATGTGATAACGTGAAATGAGACCGAACAAAGTCGAACAACATGGAATAAAAAAGTTTACTGAGTGACACAATGATATTAAGTCTAACGTAATGAAGTGATTTGTATAAATTGTTTTTTAGGCAAAGATCTAACTTTATTTTATTGTGGCATATACTACTGATAATATTTATCAGTAACATATAAAGAGACGTTCGTCGGTATAAAACAAACACATCAAAAGTAGGGAGATACATTTGATGTCAGAGAAAGCAAATGATACAGCGTTGTTGATATACATGGGAGACGTGAAAGGAACACAAAGAAACAGGATATGAAGTCCATAGGTATCACAACACGAAGATCTGTGCAAATGGTGCGCTGAAGATAATGTGTACATAATCTCCTTCCATATAAACATTGAGTTACCAAGTCTCTCGTCTTCTACCATAACAAGTGGTGTCGCTGCCTCCAGACATTAAATATCCTATGGCCGGCTGCTTTCTAGGAAGGAGACATCAGGCGCTTCTTGTGGGACTTTGAAGCCGTCAGTGAGTTGGTGGGCGTCAGGGATCCGACGGCGAAGGCGGTCGTTCTGGGGATGCTGCTGAGAGGCCGAGCAAAGGCGGAGTACGACAATGTGGAGTGGTAAGGTGAGAAGATGACCTGGAAGGTATTGGTTGGACTACTAGTGGAAGAGTTCGGCAACCCAACGGACAGGCAGCTGGTGATGCAGCAGTTCTGTGCCGCGAAGCGTGGACCGGACGGAGACCCGCCAGTGTTGATGGTGAAGCTGATGAATCTACCAAGTCGTGCTCTCTCCACATTAGATGAAGAGTCGGAGTCGCCACTATTGGCGTCCCAGTTCATCGAGAATGTTTCAGACCACATTTCTCAACAATGACAACTAGTTAACGCTGCACAACCCATGGACATCGGTGAGATGACGGTGACAAGACAGCTGCTGAGAACAACGGTAGCAGCATTAGGGCCACCGAAATTAAAAGAATGGGAACAGAAAGTTGGAGATCTGCGGTATTACGAATGAGTGCCAGGAAAAACTGATGCTTTAAATGTGGCAAAGCAGGACACTGGAGGAGGCACTGCCCAGAAAGAAGGAGAAGAAAAGATTTCAGTCAGTATAATGTGTGTTCTTTCTCTTCTGTCAGACTAGAAGTAGTGGGGGCTATTGAGAGCGGAGCCATGTACTCTCGGTTGCGAGGAAATGGCCGAGAAATATGTTTAATAGTTACAGGGGCAGCAGTCTCACTAATAGAAATGAATCTATGTCAGACCGTGTTCATTGACAGTTCAAACGGTAGGATGACACATTTTAGGCATCGCCGGCACGTCAAACTGTAGCGTTTTTATTGGCGATCGCAAAGTTTTGTTCCCCTTCATTGTTATGCCCAAGTCACGACGAACAGTACAACATTATGAGGATTAAAATCTGCTCAAACACAAGCTGATCGTAAGTCTCCGCAACGACAGTGAGCACTCTTGGGCGAAAAAAGCGATGGAAAAGGAGTCAGTGATAGGCGACACTAGACATCTATTTAGACAATCCCCGAGAAAAACAGTAGATAGGATAGACGACTGTGATGGTGAAGGGATCATTTTGAGGAGCGATTTAACTGGTCTACAGTCACGCTCAACTTGCCCATCATCCAACACCTACCTGAATGAGATGTAGACATCGGCCCTTCATCTTTAACTTAGGTTACAAAGACTATCTCTAGTCTGAAATGAGGCAAAGCAGTATCACCCGATGGAATGAAGCCAGATGTGTTTTGGGGCGGTAGTGGCGAACTGTGTCTTGGTTAACTAAGACATTAGTTAATCTCTGGTAATCAGAGATAGTTCCGTTAGACTGGTGTAAGTCACTCACTGACTATCCCAGATGATAAAAAGGGAGACACCTACTCCTGTGATAATCATAGAGAAATTAGCCTGTCTAATATAGTATCTAAAGTTATAGGTTCAATAAACATTCACAGACTAAGTGACGTTCGGGAGAAATGAACCCGAGAAAACTAGACAGGCTTTAAACCAGGAAGAGGGTGTATTGATTATATACTCACCCTTCCACAGATTCTGAAAAGTAGGAATAGTTATCGGTGTCCAACACCCACCATATTCCTGGACTATTGATATTTTCAGGAAGAAGAATGACTATGACCAGAGTACAGTTGGTTGTATTGCTCGTTTATAAATGCCAAGAAATGTACAAAAATATAAGAAAATATATCGATACACGCAGATAATTCTCGGTAAGCTCAATACTATCCCGGGGAGTATTATTGTCATCAGCATCAATCTGATTCTAAAATATGAGGATGTTTATCCCAGAATTCATCTTTTATTATGTCTATGTTTGCTTTTTCAATGGTACAATGTTTTCCTTCCTAAAAAATTATAAGAAAAGTGAAAATGTTATCAAAAAGTGAATTTAATCACTAATCGATTTTAATTAGAAAATCATAGGAGATCAAAGAAATATTATACATCTATCTCTATCATCCCAGCTTAGGAAGCTGCAGCAGTGTATCAGTGTTTTCAAACTTCTATGGGCAAAATCTACCTTAACTTTGATTAGCTTTTCACACAGACATCAGTTGAGAGCCAGTTAGCTTCGACGTGAATTTGTGGTGATTGTAGTAGGAAATTGAGGCCGATAGAGTTCATTAAGTCAAGCAACATAATTAAAGATTCATTGATGAAAATGAAATGTGACGTTACATCGCCAATCGAAATCAGGAGCAGCCTGACATCAGTCCAGGTATCAATAGACTGAACTCGTACTTCCTCACAACGTGACAGTTTCGCCTCCCTCCCACCAATCATGATGTTGTAGATGCTCATTAATTAAACGCCCCAAACTACGACGTGATAGGTATTTATTTTTTTAAAATTTTGATTATAGCTGGATTCCACACCGGATATCTGGTACAAGTATGGAATTTTCAGCATGTGATATCGGTAGCCCAAATTTTGCAGGCCAACCATAGATATCAGGTGTGCGTCGGTGGGGGCTCGAACTCCGGACCTTGTGCATGGTCGGCGAGAGTCCTAACCGCTGTGCCACCGACACACCTCAGTTTTCAAACTGATATCGGTTAGCAGCGAAATTAAATTTACAAAATTTATCAACTCCCCACAAGCTTAATAACTAAAGAAAAAAGTGAAAAATACATTGAAGGTTATTTCTCTTGATTATTCATTTTAGATGAAAAGCAACAGATCTCCATTGAGAGGAGAAAATAAGAGAAAAAAACTCAAAAGAAAACTATCAGGTGTTATGAAAAGTATGTAACTGTTCGGCAACACTTATAATCTTATTCGCAGTATGAAGAGACCATCATTCAATGTGGACACTGTAGGCTAAGTAGCTTCACTTTTTGAATGCTGACTTCTCTTAATCTACACTGTTTAATACAACTAGTGGCGTGAGTTAAAAAATTTTTTTATTCTCCACGTCATTTAATCCATCATGATTTTCAGTTGACACGTTTAATGCAGATAATTTGTTATATAGAGCACGATTTAAGCAAATACGTGTTTTCTGTAAATTCTCATCAAACTTAACATTTACATAATGACGAAATATTAGTCATAGGCATTTGAATAAATGTAGTTAATAGAGTACAGGATCAGAGATATGAAATAATGGATAACAATCGAGGTGATCATAATAAGAATAACAAGGCAAATTCAATCAAGTTTTTATATAATCTAAGCAACACTGAGCGTATAGATGGAATGTGCATACTTGTAAGGGTAGAAGAGAAAACAAAAACAGAATGATATTGATAATACAGTTAGCATCACAAATAAAATAAAATAAAAACACAACAAGATAATATTTACAGTTATCCGGTGACACCGGGATAGATAACTATTTAAGGTT